AGTTAATTTCCTGTTCGATTAATTTGCACTTTGTGTCTTAATTATTCTGCGCAATTCCACACTGGCCGATGATGCGATAAATCAATTTAGCTTTAGGATAATTTGTGGCTAATCATTTCCATTATCCATATTAAGTTGCTCAACCGATCAACGTGCTTGTAGCATCCTTTTATTGTTACTACAAATTTCTTTGAACACAAACCTGCGTTTTGCTGAACCTCGTTCTGATCAACAGGTAGCGAGTAAAGCATACGAGCTTAGAGATAGAGGTGCTGTCAAACTATGTCGAAGATACTTACTGGATTCCATGGTCAGAAATTGCATGGATTTCGTCACTGTGTCTGGTATAAATATGCGTAAAAATATGGCTGCAAAAAATTCTTTAGTATTTATCTGACTTCTGGATTCAAAGTGTTATTTAAATTTACTCTGGTAGTTCCATTGGCTTTGCTCCTAAAACGGTGCAGTGGCTTGCTTGCACTAACTTGTATACCTCCTACTAGACAGCACCTAGCAACCTGAGCAGACAGTCAAACCGACAACAGCGAACTCGATATTCTATAAACATCGAACCAGCCGAAAGTCTATGAGTGAATATCGAACGTCAAACGTAATCATCAATGGATGACATTCAGTCAAATTTCGAGCAGATTCTTTTTGCTCTCGATCACGGAGAGATCAACATGGGTGAGCTAAAATAACTTAATCTGAATAATATTTTAATCATATTAAACTGTTGATAAGTCTGACTGTATTTAATTAAAGGTGCAATTGAAACTTAAAATCTCTTTATTTAAAATGGTTTTATTTATTCTGCGTAAAAACCGAGATTTTAACCACTTCTGCCCTCCAATGTGTGCTCTATGGCATATTCCTATCATTAAAAATGCAAAAAACAGTCATTTTACAATGTCTAACGTCAGAGAACCGATAACGTTGTTAGAATAAAGAATAATCCATTGGGATAGAAAATTGTAGTTCACATCCGCATATCAATTTTCGCACAAAATGTTCCTAAGAATTTTAATTGAAACACAAACTCCAGTACATGGAATGCAAACTAGCAATTTAATAAATTTAAAAATATTTTGAGGCAAAAGTGAAGTTGTTTACAAGCTTATATTTTGAAAATTTTAAGACACTTAGAGTTATCATTGATAGCTGAATCACTAATGTAGTCAGTTTTGTGTGAATGTTGCAATGGTGTAATTTTAAGCTAATTTACATTATTTTTAAATATGCGGAAAAGTATTTTGGAAAAAATAAAATTGATAGAATGTTGCATGAAAAGTACAGTTAAACACAACAGGAAATCAAATGAGATTAACTAACAAACTTTTCAATGTTTGGGTCATAGATAATAGTTAGGATAAAGATCCGTGAAAAAAAAGAGGACGAAATTCGATTTTAATTATGGCAAACCTATTTGGCTATTGTAAAAACAAATACATATTTAAATGAATTTACATTGCTTTGTGCGATAATGGGTCAACAAACCTTCACTTTTGAAAAAAGTTGCACATGGTACATAAAGAGGAGCAGAGTGCCCGAGATTGAACCGTGTTTATAGACCAATGCGCACATGAATTTTGGTGTTTTTGAACATTTTTAATTCAAACTAGTGGACAAAATAGATACCATTGACAGTGCTACTAATCAATAAATTTACTACCAAATGTACAATTGTCTGATCAAAGTCGCTTTAAATCTTATGCGAAGACGCTGAGTAAATATGTTTCATACATTTAGATCCACAATCAGAAAATCAGGCTGGATTTAAAAACTTGTGTAACCTAGAAATTCCAAAATAGTAAACAGAATTTACGTTACATTTACAAGATGTAGGTCAGCAACAAACACTTGTCAATCTTGTTTTCATATTGCTTCGTCGTCAAGTTTGCAAGTTGCGTGTGGCTTTTAGAAATACCTTAAATTGTAACAATATATTTTCAAAGAATAGGGAGCACAATGTTAGCCGATGATGCGCCACAGAAAGAAGTTGTAACTAAACGTGGAATAAAATAGCAACCGAGATACAAAAACCTAGCATTGAAGCTGATTGCAATTAATAGTCAAGTCTTGTTGATGTTAAGAATACAACCTTCTTCTTTGTCTAGGTATTTGAAAAGTCGATCGCAACTATGACAAAGCGGGACTTTTTACCAAAGAAAATTTAGCTTCTGTTTTGAATATAATTTTTAGAGTAAATTCACCCAAGTCTTTGATTGTTGTTCGTTTGATTCTGCTTAAAATAACTTATTAAAATCGTCTTGATCGATTTTATTAATTTTATCTCCATTGCATGTTGTAGGACAATACATTTTCAAAACCTGTGGTACGATTTATGATTAAAAGGCAAAATCTGGCCAGTATAGTCCGTTTAAACAACTTCACTTGAAACAAATAAACCAGTTATTATAAAGCCTTAGCAGTGAAAATGCTAGTTTAGGGTAGTGTCTGTTTTAAGCACATTCTGTATCGATTCATACACAGCCGGTCTTTTTATAAAGGGCATCATTTTAATTATCTATTTGTTGCCTCTAACTTCTGCGTCAATTAAACGACGTTTACCATCCCCTCTTCTTCTTGCGATCGTAAATGTTTGTGCTAATATAAAAATTGTGAGTCTGCCCTACGCATTTGTAGTTTACACGCTACTTTTAGCACCTCTCTAATTGATTATTCGTTATATTATCCCATACAAAAATCACAAACTATAATTCTCTCTCAAATCACCAATATAGCATAAAATAGCTAGTGAAATCATATTTTTAGAATTATCACGTGGACGAAGTCTGATTGTAGAGTTGATAATGTACTTAAATGACAAAAATTACCAAATATAATTTTTTAAGAAATTATTTTTTAGCTAGGTAATCTGGTAACATTTAAATGAGGTTCTTTTATCGAATTATTTGGGTACTGAATAACAAGACTTAATTTGTTTTAATTTTCCAACCAATTGCATTGGTATTTCTGGAGCGCATTGCGGAGCCGCGATCTGGTCGTGAGTTGGACGTGTCTCTCCGTGTAGTATGATTCTTTATTGTGTGTTTAAAGTTCTTCTGACTGCTCTTTTTGGAATCGGGCAATGCTACATGTTTTATAGACAGAATGTATCACCTTATTTGCTCCTGCGTTCGTTTTAATGGTGTCAGGCCTTTTGTCTTATCGATATTTTTTTGTTATGGTGGTGTTTTGAGAAGTTAAAAGAAATGGTCAGATATTTATCCCTGTCTCACTAGTCTGCGTTTCAACTAAAATGTTTTTTTTGTTGCCATTGTCTACTTTTGTGTAGACTTTAGGAGACCCGAATTTTTTTATTTATTCATTTGTACGTAAATTTTAATCAGGTTTATCGTGATGCCTAAAAAGTTGAATTTGCACTCCGTGAAGGAGGTAATGAAAAATTTATATTTAATATGTATATTTTTGAGGGATACTGGTTATGTGCGAAACCCTGATGTGTCTGTATGGCTTTAATAGCCATTATCATTTTGGGATACAGTCTGTTCCTCTCGCTTATTTACGCAGCCGTTATTTGTAGGTTACCTATTCAACTCGCCCGTATAGAGCTAATCCTTTTGGTTCCTCAGTCATGTCTATAGTGAACTATTTCTCCGTTTATGAGGTTTTATGTTCCTGCCCCTAAAGTCAACTTTCTCGTGAATGTTTTTGTTAAGGTGATTTGTTATTCTAAAGACATATTACAATTTAACACGTCATTCTTAGCACTTACGAATAGCCGTTTTCGGTCGATATCTTTATATGTCTAGGCTTTATGTTTCGATTTTTTTGTGTCATAAAATTCAACCCAACTTGTAGTTTGCGCTGTACATTCCATGTTTCCCATAATGTTTTTGTGGAAACTAACCACTTTAACATACCAATTAATCTTCTTTTTATCTAACACACTGTTTATCTTTAATGGCGGTTTGCTAGGCATGTATTCGAAGCCCGCCTAGAGCCATCCTTGTGTGGGCGGCTGTTGGCTTTGTTTTGCTTAGTTATGCAGTTTAGCCATTCTCTTACCAGTAGTGACAGTACTTAATGGAATTCGCTAGCCTGTTAATTTACTAAAGTAATCATATATCCAAGGTAACATTATGTGTTTAATGCGATGTGTAAAACTGTCTTTATTTATTTCAGTTTTTATCAAAATGGCGTCAACATTCGCTTTTTTAACGGACACCGTGTCTCGTTCATCTCTTTTCCGGCACTGGGCCCTAGTCATCGTGTTATCTTCACTTCTTTCGACGATTAATGTGGGGTTTTTACAAGTTCAAGCTGAACCAAGCATGTTGATAAGTGCTATTTCAATTGACCAGCTACCACCATCGACATCGCCAAATCCTTCAAACGATTCGATGACAATTGTACCAGTTATTGATGGCCAATTAGGTGGGAGCCCCATTTTCAACATACCTTTAACCAATGTGAGTTTTTAGTTTTTTTAACTATCTGCTGCTTTTGCCTCGTGTTCGTTAAGTGCTAAAAAGTCGTTTTATTGATATTCAAAAACCAAGAAAAACTACTAGCTGGCAAGCTGTTTGTCTAAAAATGCTCTAAATACCTTCATCGTTTTCATTTGTTTGGCGTCTCATTTGCTTGGGTATGTATTGGTAGGTAGTTTGTTGGCGATATCTTGTTTTCTTTTAGATCCCTAATATTTCTGACATGAGGGCTCTGTTAAGGATATCGTCCTCAAATGATTCAACTTCCGCCAACTTTTTACTCGAAATCTCCAATCCTCCTCTTCAACGGCATGCTTTAGCAGAGTGTAAGCGCCTTAATATAGCACAGGAAATCTTAGCTCTGGTTCTATCCAATTTTCGTTGCATTTAGACTGCCTATTTGTAAATGTAAGACTTCACCATTAAAATCGATTGGGTGCTGCCTCGTATACCTGATTCATTGCCGTTTCCCTCATAGTGAATTTTTCTTTTGTTTAGAGTGTATTTTTTATTAATAGTATTCATTCTTCGTTGGATTTTTTCACTTAAGCGATAATCTATGGATTTCTTGGAGTTTCCATCACCAATCTCTGCGCTGTGACCGGCTTTATCTGTATTCCAATTAAGCGCTGGAAATATTTTAACATTCTGCTTGGCTTCATGACAGCTCTTGCTGTCGGAGCACTCTCTTCTACGGCTATTCTTGTCCTCATTCCCGAGGTAAGCTTGCTTAATCAGTGATGTTGGAGTTTGATGGGCCAAACCTCATACCTGTCGGGCTGTCATGTTAATGTAACCCCTTATATGCTGTGCATTCACTTTTTGTGCAATATACAAGCTGTTAAAATAAAAACTGCTCCTTTATACAATCAAACCTCAAACAGGACCGGAATTGAGGTACCCGCTCACCATCTGCACCCATTGCCTTAACTCTTAGTAGGTAAGTAATGCAATTGCATACTGGCGCTTTCCGACACGAAGGCTGAATTTCTGTTAGCGAACGTGATGCCAATTCGGATTGAATTTCGCAGTTGAGTTAATGCTCGTTACGTTGCACATGAGTCCATGTAGGATCGGTTTAATTGCGCCCCGCGTAAGAATCACTGCGCTTTGTATTTGTTGCTTGTGATCACGCGTCCATCACACAAACTTAACCACCATTAAGTCCTCTATTCTTACTTTTTACACATTTGGATTACCTAATTTAGAATCGCATGTTTTGTGCGAAATGATGTCGTGAATTTACTATGCTCATGTCATTTCACTCGTCAAGTATCTTAACGTTCGGGAGCCTACTTTTACGTGTCTGTCATTTACCTCAATTTTCATTCTGAGAATCTGTTGGTGATAAATGTTGTGTATCCTTTATTACCTGCGTCAAATATTTAAAAAAAACTACTTACTTTATTCTAGCGTGTTTGTGTAGTTTAACCCTTGTGTCTAGACATTCTGGTTTCGTACCTTTGGTCTTTCAAACTACCACAGGCTATGCGGATGATCGACATGCCCGCGGAGTTCGGCGGTCAAGGTCGCTCCTACCTACTGAAGCTTGGCTCTGTTCTTGCTGGAGCTCTATTCTTCTTTGTTGTGGAATACGTTCTGTTGATTTTGCCACGCCTTCTAAAGGTGAGCTGTCTGTTTCTGTTATTATTTGTCCTTGGAATGCATCGGATGCCCATCCACAAGAACTACTCCGGTTTTTGTTGTAGATATTTCTTCAAAATAATCTACTTAAATTCAATACTCTCTTGTATTGGTTTGCACTCTATCCTCACTTGAACAAAAGTTATTTCTTTGGTATTATTTGAGGTCCAAAAACATTTATGACTCCTAGAAAACTAATCACATTCATTTTTGACACTGACTTCATCCTGTGCAAGTACCGGGTTAGCGTCACTCCGTGACATGGTTTGTAAACATCTCGATTTGTTTTAAAGCTGAGATTTTTACCTTTATGTAAATCCACCCTGTGGGCACTTGGTGCGATTTCATCCAGCGGGCTTTGGATGTACTTAAGGAAGGAGTAGTGTTTCCATATTTTGCCTTTGTGTATCGTTACTATTGTGTAATCATTGATACAAGTAGTACTATTGTGGCTATGCGGACAATTTGTTACAATACGGGAATTTGTTCTGTATTCACATTCCAACTACAGATCGAATGAATGGGTTATGGATTTTGCGCTCCCTCGCAAATCAAAACTTCTGGCAAAATCTAGAGACTCGACTCCACAACTAACTTTGACTTATAATGCTTAGTGTTACTTGATGAAGCTTTGTGAAGTTATATTGCTCTCCCACATTCTGTAGTATCGGTAGTCATTTTTTGTTGCTTTCAGTGGAAAGCGTCATCTGGTGGCGACAAATCATTCGAAGGAACTGATATTGCAGACGCAAGTAACTGGCATGAAAGTTCTCATGGTTCTAGACAAGATCCCGCCAACGTACGTTATTTTAGTGTTTCTGCCATACTTATGTGTATGTATGTGTGTACAGAGGCTTTATGTGACATTCGAATCCCTCATTTTGCTGTAGGACGAGGTTTCTTCTGTGGAAAAGGACGTGATCTTGGAAAATGCAGAGTCGAATTTTAGTGACAACGTTTACATATCACAGAAGGCACCAGCTACGCGTAGTAGTAGACACTGCTGTATTTACTTTAACAAGGATAATTTCTCTAATATCGCTCCAGTGGCTTGGATGATTCTCTTTGGAGACGGGTTTCACAATTTCATGGACGGATTGACCATCGGTGCCGGCTTCACTCAAAGTCCAACTATTGGCATCGCCTTATCGCTAAGCATCCTTTTTGAAGAGCTTCCTCATGAACTAGGTACGTGCAGTTACTGGTGTAGCACATGTTGCGTTTATGAAATCTTTCGTATCCGCTTTCTCAACAATGCACGTGCTGTCTGGAATCCCTGAGGTCGTCCAATTACTTCTGGCTGTTCTCACACAGGCCTACGGTTTCCAGTCAGTGCTGTTTCTGGATCCGTTTGAGTTTTGGTGAGACGGCTGTCATATTGCCTGTCGATATGGTGTTTTCCGTTCTACGTAACCCGCATTTAGTATTTATTACTTCCATTTAAATTAAGACCATTCTGATTCTGTTTACTAACTTATATTCCAACAACTTACCACAGGTGACTTTGCAGTCCTCCTCGCCTCCGGGTTCTCTATCAAATCTGCAATTTGTGCAAACTTTACTTCAGCCTGTTCTGCCTACTTGGGTCTCGTGATTGGCTTAATAATTGGCGAAGTATCATCCGGCGCTCTCTACGTATTTGCAATCACTGCTGGGTTCTTCCTCTACATAAGTCTTTCAGATATGGTATGTACCACCCAGTTGGCGGTGGGCTAATGTTTATTTATTGAGGAATTTTGGTGTATCGGTAACAATGGTGGACTAAGAGCGATTTCGGCTTCAATTAGAGGCGTTGGGGCTCACCGATGCGAGTTTGTGTCAACACACACACACACAACTGAGGTAATTCCGTAGGGTATGCTGGCACTCAAAATAGAGTAACTTTACTGCATCCTTCTCTTCGTGGACCCTAGTCTTCAGCAAACAGACTGAAGAGAAGGCAGTTCCTTACGTCTGCATGACAGCTTGCGTTGCGTGTTTTATGGGTGTGTGCGTGTGTGTCTGTGTATGGTTGTAATGCTTAGTGAACAGTTGTTGTGTGAGTTAAGGGTCGCATCTATTATTCTGACAGATTATTGCCGCCATCGCCATGATAGCGGTTCTGTGTCCATGGCGGAAATGCTAATAGCAAGTTAATTTGCCATGTTAATGGTGATCTACTTGGGGCTTTTTTCACCGAGTTCTTTTGTAAATCAGGTGATTTTCCAGTGAGCTGCTGTACGGGTAGGCTGATTCGAATCTCTTAACGCCCAGGTTCTTAGTTTTATAGTTACCAGTTTTGATAGAGGCTGGTTATTCAAATTCGCAATGTGCACAGACATCCTAACGTCGTCCTGTTTCAACTAAATACAGTCAATTTTCGCACTCCTAGGTGTTGCTAGATTAGTGTTGTACTGTCGTATCGCTTGTATGCGTACTAGGTGTCGGTTGTGTCGAAAGGTTTTTGTTTTAACCAATATCGTGTGTGTATGCTCAGTTTTAATCCCTGGCAGTAATCCAAGTTCCGTGTTTTGGCTGTTTAAATCCGATTTTTGTGTGAAAGGTCGTTTCTTTTGGAATTCGAGGTCTAACGTCTCAACTAGTTGATTCCAACGTGACCTGTTTACCCTAACCCCTTAGTTTTATTGGAACATCCAGAGAGTACTGGTGTATTATTCATTGACCAAGGACTCAGTAAAAGTACCATTTTAATTCGCTTTTTTTTATCCGAATAATATAGATCCACAAAACTTAGTTTTGTGTGTGGCTTTTTTTGCAGTCCTTTAATATCCACATTGTGTCGTGCCTTGGGTCAATTTAAATGTTTGCAGTGTGAAGTCAACTTTATGATGTGACTGTCACGTCTTCATAATCACATTGGGGTCGCAGTTTGTTGTTGCAGGCATCAACACGCAAAACTGTGAATGTAGATAAAGTGAGAAATCCAAAAGGCACTACCCTTCTCTGACCCGTATTCCGTGCTCTTTGTGTGTGATGCGAACGAGTCATTGGTGTCATGAGCGTGTCAGGTCTCTGGTTTTGTACTTGCTGCTGTTGGTTGTTCTCAGAGGTCTACCTGTTGCTCAGGCTGTGGAATCGGCGTCGTGCCGGATTCCTGATTATAACGCTCACCCACACACTCACGATAGTTATCGTTCATAGGCGTTAGCAACTTCGCAGGACGCGGTTGTTACTAGCCTTTTTGTGGGACCCAGAGTCGGGGGAATAGTCTTTGCGATGCTTTGCACACTGCCGTTTTTTGCGCGCTGTGCTGAATTGTGTCGGGGAAACACAATCGCATACATTCCAAACTGATTAGGTAATTAGGTCGCTGAGAAATATTGTGATTGAGTATGCGTCTGAGATATTCGTCTATTGAAATTTGGCGCGTGAGTACAAAACCGCTACTTTGGGTAATCTAATGCTGTTTTCCTATAACCCTACGTCAAGATCATATGGCCGATTCGTGGGCAGATGAGGTCAGCCGTGTAGTCGAAAAACCCTTTTGTATCTTCCAAACGGACGTAATTGGTGTGGGTTTTTAGTTCCAAATATAGAAAGTCTTACAAAACGCATATTACCGTTGAAGTTGTGGTATTAAGTTAACCATGGAGTCTCATTGATAGTGGTAATGCAATGTACAGATTGTGGTTTTGACTTTCAACAGTGTAGAGACCAATTTAGGGAGCTTTTCTGTCATTTTCATCAACGCACGATTGATTGATGTTGTCTTTTACACTCAAGCTTCCAGGACTAACCGTGGACTGATTGAGTATTCAACATAAGCTCGTCTGTAACATGACTAGGTCTTTCCTAGCTGAAGAGACTGGCATAAGGACGGTTTCCATCTATTAATGCGTATCTTCCGAAAAAAACTCCGTAAACACGTCTGTTGTACTTAAATATTTGGGCATCCCTGAATATTATCGATTGGGTTGCAATTTCGTCCATCCTAATACATTCTAATATATTATGTTTACGTATGTTTAGCTGCCGTCTCTTCGAAACGCCTTGGAAGAAGCTGAGAAGAACAATGCAAACTCCTTTCGACTATTCCTCATTCAGGTGACTGGATTGATAGTGGGCTTTTTGTGTGTTTTGGGCGTGACCTTGGTTAGCGACTTGATTTCACTTTGACGCGGAAACTGTGAATGTTGCTCTCTGTTAACTGTCGAACACTTAAGCTCTTATTGTAATGATTCGTCACTTTCTTAGGGAGGAATGCTAAATTGAATTTTGTAGTTTTCACACTTACTTTTTTCTGATGGTATTCATCATTCACAAATCTTGAAAAAAAATTAATGCACAAAGACTGCGGCATTCATTGCCAACGAGTGGGTTACATGGGGACATGATGTTTAATGTAGTTCAGCCGTTGAATGAAAAGTTGGAATCCGGAGTCGGCATTTACTAATTGCAGGTTTCATTCTAAGAAAGTAAACAAACTAGCCCATCTTCTCTATTTGTTTGAGAAGTACTCTGAACTCGTGATCCGAGCGTCACATCTCATGTATTCCTTGAAGCACTAGTTACTAAGTAAGCTACCACGGCTATGGCAGTATTTGCCAGCCTTAGTACTAGGTGATTCGATTTCTTGTGGGGATGGCTGATACATTCAGTCACGCAATTAAGCGACCACATTTTAGATAATGCAGACATTGTAACCTATTTCCAGTGGAAAGTCTTTTACATGAAGATTAAATGCGATGAACGAAGTGATGGTCAATCAAAAGGTCGTGAAAGCCCTCAAATGTTTTATTCCATGGTTTCCACTAAACAAACCTTACCGGAATCAGTCCCCAAGAGATGTCCCCGGTTTATTTGTAGCGTAATCGGTCAAATGTTGCAAAGTTTAGTAAGGCTGACAAGCTCGCGGGCGCCAGTTAGGTTGCCATAGTCTATGCTGAACGTCATGGAGTAATTAAGTAAGATTGATGGACAAATAACACCAGATTTACTAAAACAAACTCCGTTCTAAGTGCACTTAGAGTCGCCAGTATCAGCCCGGCGTGTGTTAAGGTCCCTAAGTTGACAAGCCAAGACGGTAATGCAGTTCATGAAGTAACTGAAATTGTGTACATCTGGTTACTGTCCTTACGGTGCTAGCCCAATTTGTGTATTTTATGCGTGAGACCTAAACAACAAAGTCAGAAGTAGAACAACGAAGACCCATTGCCTCAGCATAAGCATAGTCTAGTACATCATGCTGAAAGAAGACGTGTAGATGGAATTCAGTGAAATCCTAACCTCGGTTGCATGAAGTAAGGTCAAATTGTGGTCAGCTGTCTTTAACCTGAAACACGTCACCGTCTCGTAAGTGCGGGTGAATGTAGCGCAGAGGGCCCTGCAACACACAGTAAGCTACGCGGGAACACAACTCGTTGCCTTACACCCAGGAGGGTCAGATTTCATGGCATTATGTAACCTGCGTGAAGGCGCCCTAATTGTGTTTCTCGGCGTAGGGTCTGTTTTGAGGGTTTGTATCGCAAAAAGCCGAGTCTTTGATTAATTCATCTTAAAATGTAAATTTGCCATCGCTTCTTCCAAGCTGAACCAATGGATGTGTCTAAT